CTCTGCTCGCAAGTTCCCCTTTCTTTTCCTTTCTTATTTCTCTTCTTCTTCTCTCTCCTTTCTGCAGTAATCCTATCCTTCTTCCCACACCCCCCTGCCCTTTTTCCATTAACTGCCTAAGGAGTTGGGTGACGACCAGGAACCACATGGCAGGAGCTGAATGCGCAGGCCGTGTCCTGCAGCCATGACAGATGGAGCGATGCCAATGGATTAAGAGTGGGCCAGTTTGGTGGTGAGAGCAGGTTGGTGAGACAGTGAGATCGGGCCTTTTGCATGGCAGCGGCAGCCCTAGCGATTGGAGCGGTGCCTGCACCATTGTGGAGATTGTACTTGGGACTCTGAGAATCTGAGATCAGGACTTTTCTTTGTTTCTTGCTTACCTTTTGGCTCTGTTAAATCTTTTAATTCTGGTTTTTGTAACCAAGTGGGCGCCAGTGAATGGTGACTTTGTGCACTTTTCGCTGTACTTATGTATTCCTATCCTTAGTACATGTGACAGATAAATAAATCTAAATCTAAAATCTAAATCTAACTCATTAATATATATTGTGAATAGCTGGGACCCAAGAACTACAGGATCCCTGCAGTAACTCACTGGTCACTGGTGCCACTCAGAAAATGAATGTTTCCTTTCTGCCAACCAGTTTTCTATCCATATCAGTACACTGTCCCCAGTCACATGTGATTCAGTTTTACATGATAGTCCCTTATGTGTTATGGACCAGACCAACCCCCCTACTGATAAATCAAGGAGATAGCCCAGACCCTAACTTTTATGTTATTAAAAGATGAGAGTAGGATGTTGCATTACCGATGTAATTCAATTGGTCACACTACTCAGTTTTAAGCTAAATACACTTTATTCTTATTTGACAGTTAAAATACAAATACAAGAAGAATTGGTATATCTAACTCTGAATAATAGATTATTTAACTACTAAACAGCAACTGTTCCAATGTGATAACATCCCATAAACGCACTCTTGGCAAAGGCAAATTCAGTAAAATAGATTGTCTCACATGCAATTTTGGCAGCAGAGAGAACTCCAGCTTTTAGCTGTAACAGAGGGAGAGAGAGAGAGAGAGAGCTTCCACAGCCAGCTTCAAAACCCCAAAACTGCTGAAAACCAGACTGAAACCCTGGTTCTGTGGGAGCCTGACTCCACCCATTCATACTGCTTCTATTGTTCTAACTTTTAAAAAAATACAAGGCTTTACAAGCTGTTTACTTTATTGGCTTGGACAAGATAGCTCTGCATCTTGGCTCAAAACCTTTCTTCAAATAAAAAGGATAAAACGTACCTCTAAAGCCATAGTATTATCACACATGCAGGATCTTGACTAATGCGTTCTGAAAGTCCAGATAAACCACGTCCACTCGTTCCCTGTTATCAACTCTACTTGTTAAACCCTTGAAGAATTCCAATAGATTTGTCAAACATAATTCCATTTCATAAATTTATGCTGTCTCTATCTAATCCTGTTACTGTTTTCCAAATGATCCGCTATTATATCTTTTATAATGAACTGGCATTTTCTCTATTACCAATATTGGGCTAATTGGTCTATAATTCCCTGTTTTCTATTTATCTCTTTTTGTAAATAGTGGGGCTATGTTATCAACCCTCCAATCCATAGGAAATGTTCCAGAGTCTATAAAAACTTGAAAGATGACCAACAGTATGGCCATAGTTTCTAGGGGCAACTTTCTTCAATACACTAGGATGTAAACTATTGGGCTTTGGGGATTTGTCGGCTTTTCGTCCCATCAATTCCTCGCACACCATTTCCCTACCAATAATAATTTCCTTCAGTTTCCCCTTTTTTTAATAGACCATGTGTTCTGCAACATTTTTAGAGTCTTATCTGCATCCTCCTTAGTGAAGACATGCAAAATATGTATGTAATTGATCCATCATTTCTTTGTTCCCCTTTATAATTTCTCCTGATTCTGATTCTAAGGACCCTACATCTGCCTTTATTGATTTTTTTATCTTCACATACCAAAAGAAGCTTTTTCAATCAGTTTGTATGTTTCCCATGAGCTTACTTTTGTACTCTAATTTCCTCCTTTTTATCAATCCTGTGTCTTCCTTTGCTGCAATCTAATTTGCTCTCAATCCTCAGTTCTGTTCTGGTGCTCTTTTCAGCCAATTTATATGCTCTCCCTTGGATCTAATACTATCCCTAATTTCCCTTGTTAGCCATGGCTAGGCCATTTTACCATTTTGTTTTTGGGCCAGATAGCCATGAACAATTCTTGAAGTTTCTCCACGCGCTCTTCAAATGTTTGCAATGCCGATCCCCCGTCATCCCTTTTAAGTAATGCTTCCAACCTTATCTTAGCCAGTTTATGCCTCATAGCAGAAAGGGTCAGAATGTTACACGTCAAGAGAGAGTGGCTGACAAGTTAGGTTGGGTCCGGGGGTTTTGTGGAGAAGTGGTCGGGGTCACAGTGTCAAGTCAAATCAGACCTAGCCACAGGGTAAGGGGTTTAAGGTAGGGAGTTGTGGTCAAGCATGAGGTCAATTTAATAGATAGCCAGGAACTAGAGTAAGTATTTAATTCACTAACTTTTATAATGGGTAACTAATGGGCTTAAATGAAACGGGATTCTCCAAAGTTACGTGTTATTTTTAGATGGTTCCAGACAGAGGGGAATTGTCCATTAGAATTTTCAATTTCCTTGGAGTCAGCTATGACAGAAATTCTGCATGGCCTCAGTATATAACTCCAGTCTACACTGCTTCAGTGACTTTCTTTCATTTGAATATCTGGGCTAATGTAACTATTTATTAGATTTTATCAAAGGATTACTCAGAAAAGCATGTAATTTTATGTTTGAAATAAGGCTGTAAAGGTTGATTTCATCAGCAGTTTTACTGATAATTCTGGCATTGTAGTATCTGTTATTTGTTTGGACAAAAAAAGCCTTTTAACTGACATATCTACCCGCAAAGTGGATACCTTGAATTTGATGATGGTTCACATTTTAGCCATATGTCCTTGCTTGATTTATTTAATCATTAGCTACATTATGCAATCTGGCTTTAAGCTTTTCAAGAAACACTTTTATTTTAAACAATAATTTGATGTCAGACTGTGTTAATTCATCTAATTTGTGATGATCTTGCTACCACACCGCTGCTAAACTTTAAACTTGAGCACAATATAGAAGATCTTAAGTCTCAGGATGTTGTTTCAGACGTTTTCACATCAACCTGTTCAGAGATGCTATCACACACCTCCTCCAGAGGTGGGACTTCAGTCTGGGTCTCCTAGAGGAATAGGGACACTTCCACTATCCCACAAGAGCATCTAAGATGTTAGTTTTATACTTAGTCTTAATGCACAAGTAATCAGTGAATCAATTATAATGTTCATTTTTTTGTGCCTGGTTCTGTTTGGATTAGCTGTATCCCTCAGTTATTTTCTAGCCAACTCTAGATACAGGCGCATTTTACAATTAAATTGGTTGCAGTAATATCCCACAGTATAATACACTTTATCTTCAATTTCCTCACAACTCTCAAATTGCATAGAGCTAATTTTAGTCTTTGTTGTCCGTAGACATAAATTGAAATTTAGTGATAATCCCAGCCCCTACATCCTGTGTCCTGTGGAGGTTTGTGGTGAGCATGTTTGGTTGGCTGGCAACAGCTGCCGTTCAGTACAAGCAGATGTTTCATTTTAAAAATTGATAGTGGAGTTGGAGACATCCCCCATGCAATTTCCTAATAAGCACTTGAGATGAATGTTCAGTATAAAGCACAATCATAATAAATGAAGACAGAGAGGCCTGGAGCATTTCAATGGAACATTTTTAGCGAAAAGCTTTTTTTCTTTTTTTCTGTCTGCTGACAGTTAGGTTTGCGTGAGTCTTTGTGCTAGTTGTTTCCCAGTCGCAAGAATGGATAAACAGGAATGACACATAGAGAGATGTTAGACAAGTTGCATGATATCTCTCTGCCCACCTTCCAGTACTCCGCCTCATTTGAGGATAGGGGGAGGAACAAATGTTACTTTTTCAGCTTTGTTCAGTTGATCATATATTTACCTCTCAGTCAGAAGGTTGCAAGTAAAGTGCAGACTTGAACACATGACAGTGAAGTAGTGCTGCATTGTCAGTGTGCATTAGAAATTCAACCAAGACTTAAACTTCTCTTAAGTAGGCTAGTAAAATATCCCATGGCGCACTTTCACAAAGAACACTGATTAATGTTTTTCCCCGAACCAACACACCACATGTTGTAGTGGTCATCCTTTTCTTTTAAGTGGGGTACTTTAACTGTTGGTTTGCTTACTTCTGCAACATGTTGGTTGCAAAGCTCTGTAGGACATCCAGAGGACATAATGCTATGCAACAAAATACCAACACTTATTTTCTTTGGTATGTCAAAAGTGTATGCACTGGATCTCGTTCCCGAAAGAAATAAGGATAACATTGCCAATAGCATCATGTAGATGTATATGTGCTTGACTAATCGTGATGCTGGAGACCTGCCTGAGGTGCCCTCATCCAATACGTGTATTTGCAGTGGCACTGAAGAAAAGAAAACAAACAAAGGTACATTGTAGCTGACATAATATGCTTGAGTGCACACACCAAGATGCCACTGGACATCTTGGCATTATGCCTACCTGGCAATTATCATGGACAACTCTCTATCCAAATTTCAGGTCAGTTGAGAGCTGGAGTAGAGCAGGGTCTTCTGCTGCAAGGTCACCTGTAACTGTGTGAGAGTGGCACCTTCAGTGTCAGCATTAGATCAGTGTACTTACACATGGTTGTGAAGCCGTGAAGTGGCTTAACCCCGGTAATGATCAAACAAGGGGTCAGATGTCTGGTTACTTATTACCTTATCTGAAAACTTATGCCTCTGTGTTTCATTTTGGTTGTTTTTCCTTTTTTCTACTGGATTCTAGGAATGTTGGATTGAATTTAATTTAGAGATTAAAATATAACTTATGTCCCTTGTCTTTTCTTTTAGAGATAGGCAACCGAAAATTGATGGCTGTTATTAAAATAATATCGCATCAGCTGGTTCAGGATTCAGACTGACAGTTCCATCTCAAGGAACACTTATAAACATGCAGTCCAGGTTAGTGCCTCTTTGATATTCATGACATACTACAATCCTGCAGTCTCAGGTTAATAAATGGATGCACTTCTCATAAATGTCAAGATGTATGTTTTAACACTCAGAATCTTAAGAGCAATTGAGACTGTCAAATTTTATACATTCAAAATTATATCCTGCAGACGGCTATGGTTTCAGAATTCCTGTGGATAGTGATAGCGTTAATGATTTCTTCATCTGTCAGTGCTGACTTTTCAATATATTGAATACATGGAAAATGATGGATATCTGTCAGAGAATTTTAATGAAGTATGTTCAGATGCTACAATATGCTGTAGTATCAAGTTCAAGATTAAATCACATCCTAAAACTCACTTTTTATGAAGGTGTTTTGCTTCCTGAATTTATTTTGTGATTTAGGATGAAGAGTGTTGTTGATTTTACGCTGGTTGCTTGTAAAAAAATAAATTGTAGATAGGAGAAAAAGAATGAATGAAAAGTGATAAACAACAAACAAAAGCAGAAGTTGCTGAAAAAGCTCAGCAGGTCTGGCAGCATTTGGGTAGAAAGAAAAATTAGAGTTAACGTTTCAGGTCCGGTGACCCTTCCTCAGAACAGTGATAGTGGACTACTTGGAAGAAGAATTCTTATGTCAAATGGGCAACAGCAAATTGACAACCTGATTTACATTTCACATGGAGAATTAGGCAGACTGTAAAAAGCACTGATGATTTGCTCTCATCCATTTTGCTGATTGCCCAAAATAAATTGTACTTTCTTTACTATAATTGTCACTGCTTTAAGACTGTGCCTCATCATAATATTACTGAAAACAAATTAACTTATGAGAGAAAAAACCTAGTTCTGTTCAATTAAAGTTTGTCAAAACTCTATTCTGAAAGTATTGATTAGAGGGAAAGTAGAGTGTTAATTGTTGATCACATAGTTAAAATGAAGAGTAAATACATATTGAGTGATTAATTATCTTGTGTATATATATATATAATATATATACATAAATTAGATATTAATTTTGTAAGTTTGTTTTGAAGTTTTGTTTTGTTCAAATGCCCTTTAGGGGCTGACAAGCAACTACTTGCTTTTTAGTTGCTCAATGAAAACAGTGTACTGTGAAAGCTGAGGGTTCTTGCAGTGAGTGAAAATATCCCAACTCTACACCAGAAGGTCCAGGTTCAAGTCCCAGCAGTCCCTGAAGGTGTGTCATAACATTTCCAAACAGGTTTGTTGAAAATAATTTTTGAGTCACGAATGGTGCTGAACATTGTGCAATCATTGCGAACATTCCACTTCTGACCTTAAGATGGAGGAAAGGTCATTGATGAAGCAAGGTCATTCATGAAGCAGCTGATGAAGGTCTGTTGATTGATTTATTAATTGTCATGTGTATTTGTTGGATGTATTTATTACAAATACAATGAATAATGTTGTATAATGTTGCCACTCTCCAGCGGCATCTTAAAACACAGCACCATCTTAAAACACAGAAATCAACCAGACATAGAGTACAAAGATAGTAAAATAAAACAATAAAGTTAAAAGTTCAACAGTACAGTGCTCCTTAAGTGCTTCTCTATGGGCCTGGATCTGGGCTCATCCACCCTGATGCTGAGATCAACATCAGTACGAAGCATTCGGCCAGCCTCGAGTCCTTTTGGCACTCCACTGCCACCAAAACATGTTGGCTTCCTTCAGCACCAACTTTCCTCTGCTGATGACGTCACCGTGTTGTGCCGATATCTGCAATTTAGCCTTTGTTGAAGCTGCCGGGTCCCACACCGGGCCCCAAACTCACTTCCTTCTGTTGCCGCCAAAGATGGGAGCACAATTCAACTCCCTCTGCTGCCGCGAGGAACAAATCTTGCCTCCAAAGCACTGGATACCTCGATGCCATCCCAGCTTTCCTCAAAAAGGTAAATAAGGTGAAATTAAAGAAAAGCATAGAAAGAAGAAAAAGAAAGAAATAGCGGACGGAGCAGGCAAGCACTGGGCTCCTAAGGATCTTACTCTGAGGCCATCCTTTTTGGGCTGAGGACACTACCCCGGGGAGCAAATGTGATTGAGATGATTGTCCACCAACAACCACAGCCATCTTCCTTTGTGCTAGATATGACTCTAACTAGGTACGTGTAAGATACCAGTGTCCATCAGCATGGTGTGAATTTGGCCGGTGCCCATGGAGCATGCCCTGACATGTTGGTGACGAGTGTCCAACTTGGAGGTTGTTTGGAGCAAGTGGCATGTTGAAGTTGCTAGGGCTTCCATACTGCGAATTCTCGCGATCTTGCTTATTTGGTGAGGAATCCGAATGTCAATGATGTGAGTTGTTGTGGTTAATAAGGTATTTAACAAGCAGTAATCCACCCTAGATGACAAGCTGCTGCTGACTAGCAAGAAACTAACCATGCCATATGGTTGATACAGAAAAGATACAATCAGTTGATCCCGGTGCTTGAAACACCCTCAATAGATTTCTTGTATGATTCAGTTACAAATCTCGACATAGCTAATGTCTTTCATGTGGCTATAAGTTTCCACTCTGTGCTCCACTCAGTGTCTTTAATCTGAAATGGAGATCGTGTTCTGTTCTGAAGTCTGCTTGACAATAGGCAGGCGGTGGTTAAAGATTAAGAGAAGCCCACATTGTGTCACTGGGATTGATGGTGCAATGTATTAACAACTGTTGACAATTGTAGCAATCTCTGAGTTCACAATGACTAAATTTTAAATCACCTAAAGTCTGAGAAAAGTGTTGAAAGTATTGGATAGAAAACAGTTGTATTGTAAACTTTACATACAAAATAGAATAGATTGGGCTCAACATTAAACAATCTACACTGCTGACTAGATGCAAGGCTAATTTGTTTTACATTGCAATAGAAAAGACACAAAAAAGAAGCCATTTTTGAGATCAGGTTACAGATTTCCCTACAAACCAATGGATGTCTCACAAAGGCAACAGCTTTTCTTGTTATCAGAGAGAAGAAACTACTTGATTTTTTTTTAATGTACCACAGCCAGAGCAATTGAGACTGTCAAACTTTATACATTCAAAATGATTTCTTGCAGACAGCTATGGTTTCAGAATTCCTGTAGATTGTGATAGAGTTAATGATTTCCTCATCTGTCAGAGTAAAGCAGTCTCTTATTAAAAATATTACTGTTGCATTCATCTAAGGAATTCAGGAGATTCATCCTGGTGAGGACAGAAGGGGCTACTTGAGACAGGCTTTACTGCTCTTAATAGGCTTTGGAAACCATTTGAAAACTAAGGGAATCACCTGGAGGTGGTCACTCATAGCTACTACTTGATGACACAGGGAAATGCAAGCTGGTTAGAGGTGGAAACAACTGTGGACTGTTGGCTGTAAAGAAAGTAATCCTCTAGAAAGTTTAGTGTTTTTTAAAGTAAAATGAGGTATATGCATCTTTGTGGCCTAAACTTTAAGTTGCCTGCAAAAAAAGTTTAGTCAACAGTGAACTATTAGTCATTTGTTACTATATACATTATAAAATGTGAACTCTTTTCATCTCATTCTTTCAGCTGTGAACTAAAATGTTCAAATTTCTTTTTAAATGTTACATTGATTTGTAACAGCTGTTTCACAACTAATGATGCTAGATAACCTCCTCCATGGGTCTTCCCAATTTATTGTGCAGTTTGTGATGTGCCAGAAAGTTACTTAAACCTGCTGATCTTGTAATGTAGTACCAAATCAACTCAGTGAAACACTTGTGCATGGTGTTTAAGGAACAGGGTTATCCTTTTGCATTGACTCCTTGCAATTTTGATGCCTCATTAGAATGCTGCTAAATTCACATCCATCAGCTCAGTACTGAGATAGTGACAAGTATTTTGACTCCACTATGGTCGGTTATGATTGAGCCTGGCAGTGTCCATCTAACTTTTTATTGGTGGTCTTCAGTTACATATTACATGCTCCAACTGTCATTCATAAAGCATACCAGAAAATTAAAACAGCTAAATCACAAAGCATTTGGTTACCTTGTATGCAGCCCAACACCGGCCCATTTCAAGCCTGCTTCCCTTTTCAGACAGTACAAGAGCTCTACATTACACTGCTGGTGAGGCACTTTGAAAAGTCCTGAGATCAAGAATGACACTGTATCAATGCAAACCCACTTTTCAACAAATTGAACCTTTATCCTTTCACAATGGGTTGAACACGTGCATCTCTTGAATCCATTGTCACAGTTGATCAACTTATCAAGATGATATTGTAAAACAACAGAAGCTGGTAAAATGGGATACTTGTGACTTAAAGTTTTAGATAAAACCTATTCTCTGGATCAGTGCTTTGGCACACAATGATGGAAGGCAAATCCTCAGATTTGCCATCTACCAGTGGAAGCATCCAGCATTTGGAAGTGAAAGTAGAGCTGGATTATAATCTCCCAGCCCTCCAGGACTGCAGAGCCCATAAAAGGCCATGGGTGCTGTGATTGCTGACTCCCTGTCTCCCCAACCAAATTTGACCACTTGGCCACCATGTAAGGGCCTCAGCTCACTGCTGTTTGGGATGTAACCAATGGTAGGATTGGTGATTATATGTTGGCTAGTTTGGCACCCTTCACTGTGTCAACTAGTGGTGGGCAACATGAAGAACTTTTTGCCAACTGGCTCTCTGTGTCCATTAGATGCCACTCACCATCCTCCTCATACTTCATGCTCCACCCACTGGGGTACCCCTCTTCCGTTATTCTCCCTACTATGGAGCTTCTCCCTTCTCAATCATGAGCGGGTCATCAAGCCTGGCCCCAGCAATACCACCTTCCACTGTAGTGATTGTAATGAGGTCAGCCAGGGGGACTTCAGAATATGAGTTCTCTGATTGGGGCTCTTAATCTGGATCAATCAGGGAGCCCTGGTTGACAGATAAGAACAGGAGTGTCAGCTACCCTGTTCACTCTGAGAGCTGGCTCTGCGGGAGATGGATCAGTATCAAGGACTGTCTGTGTGTAAATAAAGGGTGACTTGGTGA